GTACAATACAGGGTGTTCGGCCATCCCTGGTAAAAATTTTAATGGGAAATTCTAGAGGCTAAAATAAGACGAAAATCAAGAATATCAATTATTGTTTTAAAAAATTATTTTCGGTTGCGGGGGTCAATTACAATAATTTTTTGTGAATAGACACACCCCCGAAATCCTACACAGTTTCGAGAAAAAAAATTGTTTACCGAAAATATACTGTGTGACCGGAAATGTTTCTATAACTTTTTAACGAAGCCTCAATCAACAAATTAGTATCCTTGATTTTCGCCTTATTTTGGCCTCTAGAATCTCCCATTAAAATTTTTCCCAGGTGTGGTCGAACACCCTGTATGAATGTATTTGATAAGATTATTCACAAGGCAAAAAGAACAAGGATTGTTAAGTTTTGCCATTTGGTTTTCGTGTTATTGTTCATAAATCAATTTTTTCTTTATCAATATTGCGTGAAAGGTAATCAGTCAACGATGAATCGACTATCTCGCATTATTCTTAGAGTTTAATCTTGTATGTAATGCACGTCTTAATTAGTGCAGCATTGGCTAGACGAGTAATTCCAGAAAGCTTAGCTTAGAAGGACGTCGAATCCTGCATTCCCAAGTTCAGAATTCTCGAGCGATCCTGGCAATGCTCGCGAATGGAAGTTGACGTTTGCAGTAGCTAGAACATGGTGAAACGTTGTCGTATATTGCGCCGATCCCAATGTTGAACGTATCGACCCTGGTCGCCGCGAAAATATATAATTTCACTGGAATGGCGTGTATCCGGCTCCCGCGACATTTATTAAATCCTTTATCGAGACATGTTAGCTTTCCTCGGTGGCAACATTAATTCCACAGTGTTATTAAACGTCCTACGAAAAGGAAGTTATCCAATTCTTTCATATGCCGTACGTTACGATGCGATTAGAGTATCGCGCGAAAGTGTCCCAATCTATAGATTATCTTATATTGAAGGGAAAAGAAGGGGATTCATACTCGAAGTCTTAAGTCGCTTCACCAATGCATCACCGTCGAACTACGCCTATCGTAAAAGGCGTAATCTTTTAGAAATTCTCCGCAAAGGCGTAATTCGGATTTAATCGATCGTCCTCTTAAATTAACAAGTCGATCAAAGGGACAGCGCTTAATTAACGAGCTTAATGGACCTGACGTAAAACCATCAACCTCGTGAAATCGTAAACGAACGAGCGAATTTTATTTTCTGTTTATCGATTACGCGTGCCTGCGACTGCGGCCCTATAAATTATCAGCTACGGATAATTTCGCCTATGCGTTCTGAAACTTTTCCTCGAGGCTTTCGGCGACCGCGTTACGGCCATCCGGTGGTGCATTCGACGTTTATCTCCGAAATGTTCGGTCTTGATTTTTCTTATTTTTACCGTGTCCTTTTTCTCCAAATCAGTGGGCCGAGGAAAGCGGCCCAGCTTTTATCGTCTATGAAATTTATCGTCGGTGAAAATAATAGAAATTCCATCGGCTTAAATTTTGGGATACTTTTGCACAACTATAGTTAGTAGGTCGACACTGACGATCGCTTAATTGCTGGCGTGTAGTCGGAATGTATTTTCCGGAGCATCGAAATTCAACTTTGTTCTGGAAATATTAAATTGTAGAGATATCGAAGGGGCATGTACACGATGTATCCTACCACAACCCACTTTAGTATCAACGTATGCTCCATATGTGTTTCATTTTCGAAAGTTTTCGAATCATCCCTTATTCCTTTTACAGATCGTGTTCTAATCTATAGACAAGCTCATCCTTTGAGATGCATCTGAGTTTTTGATCTTGGATGAATCTCCTTTTAAACGAATTGTCATTGCTTTTCAAAGCTTCGTCTGTTAATTCCACGCTTCAGTTTGGAATTTTAGATCCGTAGCGTCTGATAGATCATACTACAATGTTATCAAGTTGCTTCTGTTGTTTAATGGAGTTTTGCTGGAAGTTAGATTAAATTCTCAGGTGGTGTCACTGCGAAAAATATTCTTCTATCGTGTATCTGTTTAATACGACAAAAATTCCAGGAAAAAGAGGAAAAATAACATTTTTTAAGCGATCTCTAAATGGAAATGAATAATGAGCTCCGTAATGTATCGTCTTTTGAAACAATTCGAATTTGTCATCGAATCTTTCTCGTTAATCCATCTCCGATTGCATGCCATCAAGTTCCTGTCACTTGTACTCGTTGAACGAGCGCTCTCGTTGATGCGACGATACGTAGCCGTTTAACGTTGGTCTTGCTTCGTCGGGTAACGCGGTAACCCAACGTAATCTGCCATCTGAAAGGATGCAAAATGGGGCCGCGTGTCAATTTACGTGGGCAGAAAGGATTTGGGTGGATCAATAGCACGAGGCTTCTTTTCTTGTCCTCAAATTCCTGCAATAATCGACGTTCTATCGTATTTCTTAAATTAGCTGCTCTATAAATGTAAATAAGTATATTCTACCTTGCTAATATACATGTGTAAAGAATCATAAATAACCCCTCAAAATAATTCTTCAATACCTTTGATAGTTTGATAGTTTCCAGAGAGGTGAAAGTTACGAGGGTAGTTTTACCCTTTTGATCTCTAGCTTGTAAATAAAAGATTTAGTCCTTCTTTATTTGTATATTTTTATATATTCTTATCTCGTATCGCTTACCGTCGTAAATTGCTTTCCCCTTGGTAAAGTAAATGTTTTATTCGTTCAACTTGATCTCTGTTGGGCTGCTTCCGTTGTTGTCTTCTCCCATCTTGTGTCAATAATTTTGCCCCTTGCTTTTCAAGTATGTCCCTTCCACAGTAACGGCCAGAAGCCGGAGCCAGGGCGCCATCCAGTCTAGCCAAATAAAACTTTGGTGTCGTCGTCTGGTCTCGAACCCTCCAAATCGCATCCATCTATGCCAGAGAGAGGAACACCATGGACCAGTTTAGGGAACTCTTCGCGAATTCATGAGAGCGTTTCATCCTGTTTTTGTCTTTCACGGTGCATTGTTACATCGGATAAAGCGCCCTATGCTAAACAGGATAAATTCGAGATCTCTGCAATATTTATCGGCCACTCGTGTCCTCCGACATTGACTTCTGTCGTTTCGTAAAATTTTCTGCCATGCGATTTAATCCTTGTTTTAAAAGGTTAAAAATTACAAGAAACGATTCTAGAAGCGGTCCACGTAGGAGAAAACTGGAAAATGTGTACGCCTCTTTTTGATGTTTTCAAACTTCTCTACCTTTTTGTTGTTGCACGTTGCACAGCGACAATTTGGTTATTCGAAAAGTGCGAAAGTTTTTCTATTGCACTTAACGAACATGACGTCTGTTTGTCACCGAGCAGAGAATCTCAGAGGCCACCGTGAACTTTTGCAATTCTTGGGCGCGTCCCAGTTTTCGCCATTTCGTTTCTGTTCGCGAACTTGCCGTGAAATTTATTCCCTTTGGTCATTTTACAGCGGAGTGCCTCAGTCTGTAGGTTCATTTGGGATTTCGTTTGCAGGTATTATCTTTGCTGACGCTGCTTTCCTTCAACGTATTCCTTCGTATACGAAACTCTCGTATTTTGTAACTAGCTATTACCCGCGGCTCCGCCGGTGTTTAACATTTTTTAATTTAACGCTCAACGCTTATTGCTTTTGCTGCGAAAGCAAAGTATAAGCAAGACGCTGTAGCGATCTTTATTATCAATTTAACTTGTAACGCCGTTGGTTGTTTCTGGTATATTTATAGCGAGCAATATTTCTGCCTCTCTGTCTCTCGCTACTATGAATTACATTCAAAGGAGAATCGTTTATCTCTGTCACTTTATCGTAACGTTTCGGTTGCCTGCTCTTCTTCCTTATTTATCTTAATATTTGGTTTTCTATTTCCACTATCGAGAAGCTTAATTTTTCTTACCTCGTTTCGAGCAAGGATAAAGCTGCAGCACATTCTACTTTTTCGTAGAAGTCATCGATCGAAATGAGTTCGTTCAAGACTACTGAGCAAAGTATAAAACATTTCTCAAAGAAATCGATCGCCACGGAACTCTGTCGATCTTTCCTAAATGCTAGGAATTTTCAGGAAAATCGGGGAAAGAAATTGACCGGCAAAAGCAGAACGAGAGGGGAAAGACTGTTGGTTGAAAGTCTGATAGGGGCGCAAGCTCGTTTCGAGGAGAGAGAGAGCGAAATAGTGGGAGGGTGAGGGGTTGCTCGATCGGGCTGTTAGAGTAGCCAAGAAGTGGGAGACGTCAGGGGTTGGAAGGGGACTCAGATGTTAGGCGGGTGGGGGTGAGTTGGGATTGGCTTTTCGCGAGCGCGAAACTCAGTAGTACGCTACCACCCACGCATGTAGTACGCACGTTCGTTCCACGTGTGTCCCGGACAACGATTCTCGATTTTTTCTGGTAACAAGGATCGCCGAGGATCGACGAGCCCCGGTGCCAGAACGTCCGGTCTTGATTTACTCGAACGCGAAAGTACGAACTTTGAGAGTCTCGTCCAGGTCCCATTGATCGTTCCAGAAGATCGAACAACGAACAGATCGAGGCTGGATCCGAGAGATCTTTGTTCGAAGCTTGCCAGCACGAAGCAACGTGGCACACACGCGGAACTTCTGCTCTGCAATCGACGAGGAATTCGTTTCACACGTCCTGTGAATTCGACTTTCCAAACTTGAGGTAATAGTTTGGTTGTACGAACGACAGAGAATGCGGAGACAACCGGAGAGCATCTTCGTTCAATAAAAGTTGCGCTTCGAAGTATTTGTATTTTGATTGTACATACGTTGATATTTGGAAATTCGTCGATAGAGACTCTGGCACCGGGAAAGTTAATCGTGTTTGTAAAGCGAAGCGCGAGACTATAGGTCGCAAGATTTTCGTGTTTGATGAAGATCGAGCTTGCTTATAGCCGAAGAAATGAATCGAGAAATTGCTTCATTATTCTGCTCGCTGATGTATCCTCCGTTTCATGGCGGAAATCTAAAATGAAAATCTACTCGGGACGAGAAGCTCGTTCGATTCCCGCGTTGACAACGTTGGGTCAAGAGATCGTCGGCGTGGTCGCGTGCTCTGATCATTTTTGGGGCCGCTAAGGGCGTCGAGAGGATCGAGAATTGGCCATCGGCTTTAGCAAACACGTAAGTGTTTATCTTTAACTTATGAATCGATTATTAGCTTCGTTGGTTGTATATAAATTTTCATTAATTTCACATGTTTCGAAATGTTAATATAACGATCATGTTTCGTGTAGGATGTGTGCAAATATTGATCTTGTCGTTGAAGATCTGCTACAGTAAATTATTTCCAATGATTTTAAATATTACGTTTGGAACAAGAACAGTCGTGTCGCTAACGACTCTTTGAGTTAGAAATCACTGGACGAAAAATTCTCTGGATTATTTCACGTATTTAGAGAGCAAAAAATGTTGTAATTAATGGGCCACTGCGTTTCTCTTTTTATACACAAATCAGTGGAATTATTTGATGGTCGAAATATGATGAAAAATCGATGATAGCTTTCCACGATAGACCAAAGGGATTAATAGCTGCTTTTGAATATTATTTCATACATTGGAAGAGAAAAGTTAATGCGAAATGATTACGGACGTCAAACCGACTTCCTCTAAATCTAGATCAGCCCCTTTGTACGATTTAACGAGCAATTTTATGTGTAACGTAGCGATAAAGCGAATCGAGTATAAGTGGATTAACAATACTGCATTTAGTAGCAACAGCAATTTAAATTCTTGATATATTGGTAAATACATTCAACGTGGAAAACACTTGGGTAGTAAATGTATATTAGACAAATGTGAATATTATTGATCGTCAAGAACAATTGCGAGCTTTAACTTTATTTGTTCAGCACTCATTTCTGTCAATACTATAAACAAAGCATGCGTTTCTGTGGGCAAATTAATCGTGATATTTTAGTTCAAGCATATCTCGACGATATTCGTGATAATATTTCAATAACGAGACAGCCGAAATTGAGCTTTGATATCGAATAGAAATTATATTGTGTGCTGATTTCTGGTATTCCAATTCAGCGTAAATAACGTTTCGCGTAATGCAAAAATGAAACAATGTTAAAGGATTAGGGTACGATTCTTGAAAACGTTTCATAGATATACAAATAATATTCTTGAGAATATACTATCTTAACATCACTTCGCATGATTGCAACGATTAAATTGAAAACCACGAAGTATCGACGATTTTTACAGTCAAAGCAAGCGAGGCATAGCGACAAAAGATATCGACAATTATGTCACTTACAAGCCGCTCTCGCGAAATTACGTAACGATCCTTATCGTGCATAATATTCCCGAGGCATGGAATGTCAGGGGCTCTCTCGTTATAGTTTTCAGGAATGTAATCAAACGGAATGACAGAAACGTCTGGTAGAGAATCGGTGACAAGGGGAAGTGATACGAGCAACCAGGATGACGAGTCCATTTTTTACGATTATTCTTCCATCGAAGGAGCTGTCGATCACAATGTCGAAATTAAAAGGCTACCGCACGGTTTCAAGTTTGACATTTGATTCGAGCTACGAAAAACGCGACGGAGAACCGAAACCATTCGAAGTGAAATCTTTTAAGAACGGATAAATAGATTCGAATCTTTGTCGGAGAAAGAAAACGCGTTTCAATTTTTCTTTCCTTTCGATTCTGTCGTTATCGATCGCGTTACATTTGCATCGTCAGTTTGTCGTTCGAGAGATGTATGTAACTTTGAAAGAGTTCTGAAAAATGTTAGTCAAACAGGCCGGAAGGTTACGTAACGGAATGTGGGCTGCTTTATAAAACGGCGAGACCATCTGGTACATCGGAGAACGGATATTACACTCTTTTTGAGGGATGCGTCTTTTTCTAGAGGTCGATTAAATGTATCGGACGTTTCAGGGGCTTTTTCACGTCGATCAGCTGAATCGTGAACGCGTTCAACAGCCGTTGGCTTTCTATCACTTTTTTCCAACGATTTTCCAACGTGGAAATGGATTTTGCCTTTCAGTCGATGCTCTCGTCGCGGCGAAATAAATCTTTGCTACTCGACTTGGACTATTGCTCCGTAACATCTCTACGTGGGATGTTTCTTTCGATGCCAACTGATCTTGAGTGATCTGAATGACTCGTAATAGTAAGATTGACACGAGTCTCGATCTAATAAATTTTTTAACATTTTTTACTAACAAGGTTAAGTTTTATAAACACACAGATCGGTCCCGAAAATAAGTGCCATTCTCGATCGAGTAACTAGTCTACTTTTAATATTATTAATAATTTTTTGTAGCACTCATAATAATCAGTTTATATTACGTGTCATCTATCTTTAATTACATTAAATATTGTTGGTTATGGATAATTTGACATCGCGTTTCGATCGCAGAATTGAAACGTTCGACGAATTCCTTTTTGTATCACGGGGTGGCATGCTTCTTATGTTTTTGCCCTCGGTTACTTTTCAAGTTCTTTGTCATTCAAAGCGGAATGAAAAAGCAAAGGCTTCCCCACGGGTTTCTTTTGCGATGGACGTTGGGATTGAAGAAGGAGGCCCTCTGAAAAAAATCAATGCGGTCCTAAGAGCCTGGATAAGAAGAGTTGAATTGACTCGCGTCAAAGGATTTCGTAGCTAAAAAAGGCATTTCTATGCATGTTACTTTCGGGTGTGCTTTTTTTCTATTTGTTGGCTTTAATCCGAAAAGTGCCTTTGGTAAGCAGAATTGGACGAGACAACTTGAAAATTAAATACGAAGGACAAATCATTTCCGGCGTTCGGGTTCTAGGAAGTAACAGCAGTCTGTTACTAGTCATTTTTCAAGTCGCGTATATACAGATAACAACTCGTTTCAACTCGAAAAAGGACACACTGACGCAGGTATTTCGAACGAAATTCGACCAAAGGATAAAATTCACTCGTTCGAAAAGGAAGGATAAGTCCGACGGTCGAACGATTTGTTTGCGTTTTTTGGCGCGTTTGCGATATTCGGACCATGACTGAAAATAGACTGTCAGAAAGCATAACTCGGTCTACGTGTCACGATATCCACGCATGGCCGATCGCAAAGCGCGAAATAAATATGAAAGTTGTAGTCTGATTTATGGCCTCCGAATTTCTTGGTTGATTTATGATCGTGCGTGGGGATGTGTCACTCTGATCGCGCGAGGTTTATTTTCTATCTGCCCGGCTGTGTTCTTCTCTGATGAAATTGTCAGTCACTGAATAGCTTTTCGTGCCGTTCGAATTTATTTACTTATCCTCTTTTTCGAATATTTCAGAGCGTTCGTACATGTCTATCCATGATTGTGAAAAAAATATTAGAACGAGTCAAGTTTTATTTTTTATCGTCGTCGCATGCAAAAATTTCGATCGACAGAATGTTTGTTTGCATTCAGCACGGCGCTAGGCTACGTATTGTTAAGTAGTTTGATTGCTGTTGCGTTAGATATTGCAAAGAAACTCGATCGGTGCTCTTGACAATGCCTGATACAGCCACCGGGGGAAACATCGTAAACTGTTCTTAGAGCAAATAAACTTCCAAGCACCACTAATAGGGTCGGCGTTTCGGAGGGGAGCTCCAGTGGATCCTCGGTCCCCCTTTGCGTCGAGGATATTAATTACTTATTGTTCATTTAGGGAAACAATTGTTACTAAACAGTAAACACTTGTACTGAATTAATACTTGTAGGGAACACGAATACAACCACGACTGTATTACGCGCGTAACGTTACTATTTTTAAACGAAACAAACATTTGTACTCACACTGAGTTTCTGTTTACTGCAAAATACCGTTGAGAAATGTTCAACGATTAATCGATAATGTTATCAATTAAGCTCGAGTTGTTCGTTTTTCGCGTTCGGTGGTCGATAAGGGATTCCCCGTCGTTCCATGCTGCGGCTATCCATTGTAGTTTCTCAAATATCGGCGGGACTTTGAGAATTTATAGGATCCACCGGTACACCGTTGTGTGGTTCTATACACATTGTGAACGGATTTTCGGGGGTGGGTGAGGATTTGTGTTTGTGGGAAGCAGAAAACCGAGGGGAAAAAGGACGAGAAAAATGGGAACTCTCTCTGCTCGAAGCGAACGAAGGCGGATAATATGGAAGGAAAAGGATCACTGGTTCGCTTTCAATACGTTCTATATACCAAATTGCATGCAAATCGCGAATGTATCGCCATTGGCTAACGTTCGAACGTAGATAACGTCGATGTTCGAGATCGATAGAGTCCTTTTCCCGAATAAACGGGTAAACAAGTCAGTGGGCCAACGAAAATAGAGGAGAATGGAGAAATCAGTGACTGTATGCCAGGACTTACATGCAAATACTTTCGAACGTCTTTGATCTTATGTTAAAATAGTAGTCGCAGTACCGTGCCGAGATATTTTATTTGGTTGAATCCTATAACGATTTGAAACACGCGCCGAATTCGATCGATTATTTAAACGTTGATCTTGCGGTGTATCAAACAAGAATATTATACAGGGGTCGAGAGGAATAAAATCGAAAGTAGAAGATTTGCTCGCTCGACACGTACAGGTATTAGTACCCACGACCTTTCGGAGAAACGATAAACTCTTCTGTCTTTGGTCCTGGATTTTATTGTTCGTTTATTAAAATCTTAATTAGATTGGGATTATCTGCATGCATGAAATTCGATCTGATGATCTAGCGTTGTGGGAACAAAAGAGCAAAGTTTCTGTGGGGACTCGAGCCCTTGCGACCCTTCTGTCGCGATTTTATCAATTATCTTGAATCTTGGCCCTTGATTTTTCTGTTCTGAGCATTTGTCGGTCGCTTCGACGAGATTTCGAAGCTCACGCAATGGGGTTGTTGGAGATCTTAATTATCAATCGACCCCCGTAATTCTGGAGGAAGATTTTACAGACACGTGTTCAACTATTGACCCGATTACGATTAGTTTGCATTGACGCTGCTAACGGTAAACGAGCGAACCCAAGTCATCAGAAATCAAGCGTGCTCTCGTTCGACGATGCATTTTCCGGTTCATCGATATTTCCTGGGAGCCTAGTCGGATCGGATCGATGCGTACCGCAGCGACGGAGGCACGATCGAGCGAATAAGAAGTTTCGACAGTCGCCACTAATCCGAAAGCTGTTCCGGCGATGAGTTGATAATTGTCCGTTGTGCAACGCTGTTTTCTGACGATGATAGAGTTTTGGTTACTTACGAACAACGTTCGAGCGTTCTGTAAATCCGGCGCAGGAATTAATTGCAACTTCGATAGTTCTCTAAACTTCGACAGAAGCATATCCAGTTTGCCATACAAGTGTTACGTAACCAATAAGGTGTAATAATATAAATTTAAAAACGCAATTGTTGTTGAAAAATCAAGATCACTTTTCTCTTACAAAGGAAGAACACTACTGATCTAGAAAATTAATAGCAGACAGACTAGCCCGTTGATCGAGTTTATAAAAGTCACGATGGGGTGGCAACTTTCCACAATGCTGACAACAACATTAAATTGATTTGCGTGTGCAATACGGCTTCCTATTGCCGAAGAAACGACCGCCGAGCGTAATTTCGAGGCAAGTTTCTATCTCCCTCCGAGCTTTCTCGTGATTCTCCACTCCGATACGGCCAAGTGTGAACGGGCTCTACGACGCGTTCGAATCGATCAAATTTCCGATCCTTTCTGCACTTTCAGAGAGTTTTGCGACTGGGCGAAATTTTAATTAATATTGTACCACTTATGTTATTATTTATTCAATCAGCATCTTATTAAATCATCACATTTGGCTCGAACCAACGTTTTACGATCTTCGATTAAATAATTTGATGGATAATTTTTATTTTTCATTCAACGATACATGTAGCGATTATCGGATGTGGGTTATGGATGTCCGATTAAAATTCGGATTCATCTTGAATGGAGCGTCAAATAGAGAAATTGCGCTTGTTCGGACAAGTTGGAATGAAAGGAGTATATGAATATGGCGCGTATTTAAAACGGAAGTGTTACGGAGAGGCGCGGAGTGCTTTTCTCGAGAGTGCGGGGGTGGGATCCAGCACATCGATCCTCCGGGTGCAGTCTGGTAGAACCAACTCTCGTGGAAGGGTGCACGCCGATGAGATAACAGGAAATTGGATAGTGCTTTCACTTGATAGTGAGCCGAAGTTGCACTGCCACTATGTGCAAACCCTCTGTTTCGTTAAACGGAACGAGTTCTGTCGCAACGTGTGAACGACTTTGCGTTTCCATCCATTTTTTGTCCTTTTTAACGAAATTACGAGTCACATTTACACCTTTCTATCGAGACAATACCAGGAAAATATTTTTTCCGTAGCTTTCCCTGTCGATACATTTAACGCGAATTATTTTTTACTATGACCAGTCGTATTTACTCTAACGAACAGATGTACGTTCACTTTATGAAATAATTTAATGTACAGTACGTAAATCTGAATGGTTCGCTGAAAATGTAAACCGGTTTTTTTTTCCGTAAAACGTAATTTGAAAATGCAGCGTAGCAATTTAAAGCACACCGTAATTAAACGATATAATTTACTCCTGTAAAGAGGCGAATGTTTACCCATCCAATCGTACGTGAAACTATTTTATCGGTTCGTTTTAACGTGCATTCGCACATTTCTGTGACTCGTGTTGGTTGAATATTATACTATTGAGGTTATTTATGTACATGCCAATTAACGGAGGACTCTTATTATTGATTGCAGGGATTAAAATGTCTGGAACGGAAGCTCATGGCGGTAATACGAGTCCAACGCGTCAGCCGAGGTAATTAAAAAGTAATCTTTTTCAATTTAGTCAACGTCGAGAGATCTTGAAAAGTTACGCAAGGTCTTTTCGCGTTGGTTTACTTTGCAATTTTCGTAGAACGTGTATCTAGCCGTTTCACTGCGTGGTAATTTTTTTAAATTTAATCATTCTCGATCCATTTATCTTCCGTATCAGGCTCAGTCCTTCTTTCCTCTTTTTACTTTTCATAATTGGAAATTCGGTGTGAACCATGGTTGAAAATTGTTCATAATAACTGCGTAAAATAGGAATGATGTAATTTTTAGCGCGCTAACAGATGGAATTCCTATCCGCGGGTATTTTGCGGGTAATTCGCATTTATAGATTAAAATCGGACACTTTGTAGAAAGGACGTTTCCTTGAAGCAACGTAATTCTTCAAAGATGCAAGGACCTTAAGCGACTGATTGATATTATATAATTGTGAATTGATAATGCTATAGTAGCTTTACGAGAAACAACGAAGCTTCGTCGTATTTTATTATAAAAGTTAATGGTTTCGTTCGCTATTAGATAATATTTACTTTCCCGCGAATTTCAGACAGACCAGAATTCACAGCGTCGGGTTACCGGCCCGAACATCTCTACTTCCGGAACCTCCACCTACGGGAAATGACGCTCCACCACCGATACCGCGGCGCCATTCCGCCGCACCCGCCGTAAGTAAATTCGAAACTATTTCGTTCGTTTATTTAACGAACGATTGATTCCGTTAGTGGATCTTTCGCAATTTTACTACGACGCAGAACACGAAACACCAGCAGATAGACACTTTCGTTTCTCGACAAAATTGAAAACTGCAAATTGACATTTTAAAAGAGGAAGGAGATGCAAGACTTGGAGTCTCCGTAACGATGTTCCTCGTTGCTAAAAGTAGTTCTCACTGGGAAAGTTTCGGTCTTTCGACCGGTATCGGGGCAGGTCAAGCAATTTTCCGGTAAAATACGACCGAACTCGCTATCTAAATCATAAGAGACTAAAGCTGGCGGTTAGCGGCATGCCGACACTTTGCAAATTAACAACGACAGAGTGAAAAGTGATGGCGTAATCTCGGCCGCCGGGCAGACCTCGTTTCAAGTGCTTGCATTAAATCGAGCAGAAGCAACGAGACATTCTTTGTTCGCTGTTTCGTAGAACTCGTCCGCGTAATTAGTGGACAAACGAAGACAAACGAGTATATTACGACTTGATTTAATAAATTTCAATTTTTATTATTGGATGAAATTCATTCCCATACGTGATAAGAATTACCCTCGAGGGGTCGTTAAAGATATTGGAGGATAGTTTGATAGGTTTTAATATACTTGATCTGATCCCCAATTAGCAAGTAAATCGTGGAATACGAAACGAACGCGCGAAAATTGGAACGGGGACTTGTTGATCGTGCAGGTAGCTCCACCACCGATACCCCTGCGGCCGCTGGCGATTCCAAAGCGAAGAAAGAACGAAAAACCGATACCTGTACCGATATCAACGAGGCAGGAGAGTCAGCTAAATCGACGGAAGGCCAGCGAACCGACGCCTCCATCCACGACGATACTTCCCACCTCTTGGAGCCACGACAACGAGAAGTTTATCGATCTGGGTCCCTTCCGGGCTCAAGATCAGGGAACCGCACACGAGTATTCGTTGAGCTTTCCGTCCAAGGAGGAAACGAGCGAGGAGAGTGATTTCGTCGCGGACTTTGACAAGGCGAACTTCGAAGAGGACTGCAAGCTTAGCCAAAAGTCGAGCTTCGAGGACTTGCAGAAGGCTTCCCGCGATCTCGAGAAGAGGCTGCACGAGAGGATCGTCAAGAGCGCCGAGTCCAAGTTCAAAGATCATCAGGCTGGAAGGGATGGATGCCAGAGGCAGGGAGGGGGCGTGCTGAATGCCAGGTGAGAGTGAATCGATATGGTTCGACGTTTTTTTTCAGTACTTGTATAAGATGCTGCATGTCTGTAAACTGAGGAGCATGAATTTAAAAGGTTATAGAAAAGATGTTATGTCACGTGTTCGATAGGTCGCGAATGACACGTGCAAACTCAACGCGATATATTAAAGCACGTGACAAATTTTTTGTACGTCCATTTTCTTGAATTCTTCGATCAGTTCTTTCATATACAACTTCTCAAAGAATAAATTCATGAACAAGTTCCATGCACGAATGTGTCTAAATCTCCGTATCGTTCGATTTCTTTATGGTTTCCGAAATACGCATTTCTGCGCGACGACAGTTTCTCCTCGAATGAAATTTTCTTTGTTACTTATCGTACGTAACATTGTTTTATTCTGGACTGTTTCATTCTTGCAAGTATGTTGTAACAGTTTTGTAAAGTTACGAGGGGAATGAAATTGTTATTGCGAAGTCCAAATTGTCCAAACGGATAAAGCTTGCCTTCTCTGTATTTAAGTGTGTCGAGGACACGAGACGCGTGCATGTTCGAGATAAATTTAGCTCGAATTAGCAGGGATATATTACAGGCGATTACGCTTACGACGGGCTTGCTAAACTAAGCGTAAGCTTCAATTCTATCACGATGTTCGAGTAGACGTTTCGTTGAAGTGGTCTGGCATTCTCGTAATCGGGAACCTAGCTCAATTCCCTGCTGCTTGCATTGTACGTGTGTTTCAGTGCACAGCGAAGAAAGCTCGGAAATAAAAGCGTCTTTTGTGTTTTAGAGAATACAAGTTGCTTTCTTATAATTGGTCGCAGCGAACGTTAACGTTTTTATTCATTTGGGAAACAGCACGACCAGGTTAATGGTACACCAATTTAGGCAATACTAATTTACATTGTTCTCAAATTACGTTGAATTAACGTTTCGAGCGTGCCTCGGAATTCCAGATATACTTTGTACTTCTGCAGCGATAATTCTGTTCTGTAATATTACGATGTTATATACTTTGTTATTGGCAACGTTACATCGTTTTTCTATTGGGCTGGCCAAAAAGTAATTGAGTTTTAAAGTCCCTGTATATCAAAGTAGACAATACGTAAGGCATGAGACAAAAGTTAAAAGCTACTCGAGAGTATTGGGGAACCGCTGCGAAAACGAAACTTAAAAAGATTAAAAATGTAAAATACAGCATCTTTGATGACAGTTTTCTTAATTAATCGGTTAACGAAGTGATTTATAGGGTGAATTTAATCAGAGACCAAACTTTTTTTATCTCTCGTTACGACACTCTGCCTCGTTCGATAGGCTTCAGTCGTCGAAGCTGTGTAAAGAGAACGAGCTGGAGGGCTGCGAGGCAGCTGCCGACGGAAAGACTCAGGAAAAATTAGCTTCTCCTCGACGGGAGCCCCTGCAAGAGGATGAGGTAAAGTTCGCGGCGCTGTTGAGATCGCGTCGCGAAGCAGCAAAGAGATGCAAGTTCGAAGAGCTTCAAGCGGCCTCGAAGAAACTCGAGAGACGTCTGCACGAGGAGGATGACTATCTAGGCGCGATTAAAGAGAGGCCAGTCACCAGGTAGACGATTTTTTAATAGGTCGAGTAGTCGGGCGAACCTCTGCGCGGCAACTTTTTTCTGTCGAAAGCGATTGCAAACAGAATCAATAATTTTAACGTTTCCTATCGTTTCTGCGCGCATTTATCGAACGTTACAAAATAATATTTTTAAAATCGTTTGCTGTCAATGAACGCCACGGTAGAAATAACGTATATATCTCGTGGTTCTTGTTGAAAAACTAGGTACGAGGAGTTGCAAAGAGCTTCGCAAGATCTCGAGAGACGTTTGCATGCCGATCAAAGATCCCCAGAGGCTACGATTCGCGGAAAATACGAGGCGGAGATGGACAGGGCCAGGTGTATTTTGCAACAGAATCTCAGAAAGGAGAGGAGTTGTGGCGAGAAATTGGAGAAATTGCCGAAGGCTACGCAGACGAATCTTCCACCGCCTCTAAGCGCCATTTCTCCGAGTCCTGTACCGAAGCCCATCAGTGTTAGACAAGACAGCAACGTCTCTTCGGACAGTTTTAGTCAGACTAGCTCGCCAAGCTATACCAGCAAGACAATGGAAGCTCCTCTGTTGCTTCATAAATACGGCAAAGTTCCAGGTAAATATATTAACCTTATTGCAATTGGAACCCGCGCGGAAATTAAGTCTTTTGGGAGAAATTGGCACGCTAGAATTCCAATTCCTATACGTCATCTTTCCTCTTGTGTTTCGGTTGCAGCCAAATGCTTGTTCTCTACAGAAAACTAGATTCCTTTGTTTAAAACGTACTTTGATGTTCTTTCTCGTGTCTGTAGCGACACTCGGATTTTCATTACAAACGACTAAAAGAATGTTCATGAGATTCTTCGGTTAAATTCGCAGGTAGAGCACTAGTGTCTGAACCGGATAGCTCGTCAGGCAGAACCATAACAAAATCAACCAGTACTCCGGCTAGTCTGCAGGCTATAGTCAGAGTTCATGGTGGTAACAACGGTTCTTTGCATCATAAGGTGAGCTAGGCTGTAGTTTTCAGTTCACACGATTTCTAGAGTGCTGACTGTCGCTCGTGAATTGGTAAAGTAGAAGATACCCAGCTGTTTGAAATCAATTGCACCGCAACCGCAATTTTAACTCGCAGATGCGAAACGTATATGACGGTGCGAATTAAGGGTCAAGCGATTTCTGAAGGCTCGTATGCTTGGCCTAGCGGAAACAATTTCAGAGGTCAGTGTCGGCTACAAAGCTTGTTGACATGCCCCGACAAACCAGGAACGATTGAAGTCGATATTGAATTCGACGAAGCTTTCATTTGATTCGTGACGAACTGAAGGGTCGTGATAGAATGCGGAAATACCTCTAACGAACGTCTAAATTGTATTTTATTTTAGGTAGGAACATTGTCACCGATCAAAGCTACTTTGTGCCCATTTTTTCATATTAAAATAGAAAAATTCCGTAACTTTAACACGTTTCGGGAACCATGTACGATTCCTCGCGAATCGATAATTCGTGTCATTTGGCCTTTTCGTTTAGCAATTAGGAAAACGCACACGTGTTCTGAGTTACGCGCTCGATATCGCGAAAACCGAGACCCTTATCGAGTTGGAGCCAATACAATTTCATGCGAATGCTCTCGTTATTAACGCGAAAAACAGACCACGATAATAGACGCCGGCCAACAAGAAATCCCGACCAGGCGTGGGCGGATATAACGGTTATTTCCCCTCGTCAGTTTAATTGCTTTGTTTTTTACATCTCTTCGATTACCTGGCATTATTGGAAACGATTGTCCAACATGATTTCGCTAATTTTCGTTGCTACGCCAACGTGGACGCATAATGGAAAAATTGTAAATTTGAGGCGCTTGAAATATCGAATCGAACGTCTGACCAATAACGACCTGTTCTACTTCGCACGTAAAAAGTTGATTTATCTTCTTCCGCAGAACTTATGTTTTATAATTCTGCTTACGTAATATTGTTTTCCAATCGCTGGCGACATTTCCCTTGTTATTTACAATTTTGTTCAGTGTAGTAGTTCATCGGCGAAGAAACTTTGCAACCCTAGTTGTTGCCAGACGAAATTCTCGCGAAAATCGGGCGTGATTGTTTCGTTGGTAGTGCAACCGCGATGCCGTATTAGTGCTCGTATTGGGTGGGCAACAGTCTGTTGACGAAGGGACGTAATTTGTCCTTTGATAGTACAACGCAACCGCGAGGAAATCATAATCGGTATCGATAGTCTGGCGATGGGTCGAGTGAACCGTACTAACACACACTCGTACGTTGACTCCTCGAATATGAAATGTGTTGCGATCGACTAATATTTGCATCAATTCGTGCACCTATCTGCATATGAAGGGGAAGGGGGTATTTCTGAAACGACCTCTGTAGTTGTTCGAGCGACTATTTTATATTTTGTGTGAAAATAAATCCATTTTATTTTAAATCGATCGGAGTCAACCCAAATCCTTTAGTTGCTGGTTGACCGATTTAATCATTAAATTATTCTGGTCGTTGACGATTCTTTCTCACCGTAAGCGTTTTTAATTGTTCGATTGAAATTTCTTTCAGATAATCAGAGACATGACCAGCAGTCATTACGTGACCACCGGACGGCTTCGTTTCAGATTCGTGCAAGTGTTCTTCAACGCTGTCGCGCTTCTAATTATTGCTGGAGGCTTGGCTGTATATTTCAAATGTGAGTCATTATATCGTTCGGTCTAGTTAGCCACGATTCGTGTTCATGCACGATTATTTTACGAAGTTGGTACAATTATTTCTGGACAAAGGCGTGCGAGCGAAGGTTTATTGTGTGAAAAGCATATGTCGGTGACAAATGTAAATGCTCGTGACGTTAGGCGATGTAATGCACCGAGCACATAGAACGAGGAGCTTCGTAGTACCGAAAGATCAATAGAGCTCCCGGTTCCCGTGTGCTACTTACTTTCAAATATCAACATCGACTTCGCTGAGCGCGCTTTGACTCTGTTTCTATTGGTAATATAGCGATGCGTAATTAGCTTTTCCGTCGAATTAACGAGGCTCTTTATCGTTGCCTGCAACGTGTCCCTGCCCTTATCTCTAACGAAGCGTTTGATAATTTAAAGTTTAGCGCGCTCACGATGGATTTTATGATTATACATATAGAATGGTAAAAGCTCCTTCGAACAACAGTATAAACGAAAATAGAGTAACTTTTATTTTTGGAAACATGTCACGTAATAATAAACAATGACTCAAGTATACGTATATGGAGGTTTACTAGCAATGAATTATCTAAACCGATGGAACTTTATAAAAAGATACTGTCAAATGATTGTACTTGAATGAAAATTGTACGCTTGATATAGCTTATCCCGAGACTGTCATACGCTTGGAGAATAAAACAATCTACACTAGCATGATCGCGCTAACGGAAAAGCCAGATTCGACGATCGAAGAGAAGAACCCAGCACCGGGAGTATGTTTGCCCATAATAGTGACGTTCTGCCAATATCACAAGGTGAGTTTATCGATGGTTTGTTCAAACTCCCTTCTAGTAATCAAAGAATTTTTTATTCGCGATTATTCATTCTCGTCTGAACGTTTTAAACGAGTTATGAATTTTTACGATCCGTGAATCGCGGTAATCGGCGTTGAATATTCAGCGGTCCAATTAAACGTCAGACGCATTTACGCGTGTTGACAGATTCCGTATAATTTCACCGTCTTCCCGAATGACATGGGCAATTTCGGGCAGCGCGACGCTCAGCACGAGCTCGAGGTTTACGACTCGGTGATCGACGTCAGATGCTACGAATTGGCAGCCCTTTTCCTGTGCAGCGTTTTTGTGCCGAAATGCGGGTCCCGGGGCCACGTCGTGCGACCCTGCCGCAGCCTTTGTTTCCGTAAGTAATCCCGTTTTAGATCGATCGACGGTCGCGAGAAAATATTTTCAAAAGACTTAGATATCTTTCGAAGCCTGGAACACCGTGTCTGCTCGAATTTAGCGCGCAGAAACCTAGGATTATTGAAACCAATAATTTGCTTAGAAACCAAGAGACGCTGCGGGTTCTTCTTGAATGTGTTCGGCCTGACACTGCTGGACTACGTGGAGTGCGAGCTTTTTCCGGAGAATTCCAACCCGGACGAGTGCGTCGGACATCACGAAGTGTTGGAGGCGGCTCAAAGGGCGGAGAAACCCGGTAAGTTGTGCACAGATACAATGAAATTTGAATTGTATGAAGCGCAATGAATTTTTCTGCCGAGATATATTGCAGAGATACGTGATAAATTGAGAATGAAAACTTTGTACGCGTTTATGTATAAAATGTCGAATCTCCGTAACACGAGAAGACAAGAATTTTGATATTACTTTGGACAGAAAAATGCAACGAAAATGAAAAATGTTGTCTCTGAACGAGAACATTAAAATAGGACGGCCATGAATAGATGGGAATTAGTCATTATAGACTCTGGGATAAGCCCCCTGAATAGGTATAGTCCGGGCATTTGATAAAGAGGTGGATAATCGTGGGATTAAAATAATCTCGCCGGGACAGCCAGGCGACGGCTAGAATACACGCGGCCCCTGATCAAACTTACGAAAGATGTAATATTAGATTTTCTTCTTTGAAAAGAGATTGAAAAAACGTTTCGTAGTCTGCGGACGTTCCAGAATTTATAACTCTGTTCGCGACGAACTTTTTTAGTAAATCGAGGATAAGATTACAGAGTCGAAAACTAAAGGGGCAGTGTTGAGAGGCGTGAAAGAATATTTCAAAGTTACAGAGTAATTTATAAAGAGGTACGTATCGTACAAGAGTCTAGTCTGGGTTTTAAACGAAGGAAGTAGAATTGAGCCGGCGAAAAACGATCGTCGTAAAAATTTAGAAAAAAGAGAAGAACGAGGGCGTTGAAAACGATCCATCAACGCCTCGGTTCAAGGAACAATGGAAACCGGAAATATTTATGTCGATTCGCCGCCCATCTTTTGTTTTACCGGGCTACCAACGTCTCTGTCGGCTGTACCGATGCACAGATGCACCGAGACAAACGGAACTAATTGCCGACTAACGTTCTAAACCGATATCCATTGTTTGCCCTCCTATCGCCGTTCACGACTCTTTTGTTCCATTCATTTGTTCGTGCCTCGTAATGGAATGCCTACCATTGTTGACTACTTCCTACGGGCAGGAAGTTGTGTGTTGATCCTTCTGGACGTCTCGAGGTGATCTAATACCGGTTTTTTAACTGTCCTCCTAATCTTCTTTATCGTTCTCCAAGTTCTTTTGGTTAACCGAGTAAAGGTATGTTTTCGTTGTTATTTTCAAGTCGTGTTATTTGCCAGAGGAAGACAATTTCTCTAAACCTTTGGTTCTCTTCGTCCAGTAGTAAAGGTCGGTTTCTAGTCGGGCCGACATCGAGAAGATTGAACGATCGATGGACCAGGTATACGACGTAATTATCGAATCGAACATTGCGAAAGTTTTATAATCGACTAAGAGTCGTTGTTATAACCGGCTCGGCTCTAATAAACCGATTAAATTGCACACTGGTTACGGTTTTTGATAGAGGGAACCTTCCTCCGATTTCCAATTCTTATATTTCTGTACTCTTCTTTTTACAGCCCTATAAATTATCCATTATGTTTCTTTATTCTAACTAGAAACATCGAGACAGTTTAATTTTCTTCTTTTCTTAACACGAATTTATTGACGGCCTGAAACGATTCGGTCGGAACAATTGAGTTTGCGGTTGTCTACTTAATTTATTATGTATTCGATCTCTTGATTTTTGGATCAAATTCAGGTCACAGCGACATTTTCACTTCAGGACTCGTTGGAAGTGGAACGTAGTTCTCTATTTCTCACTGAAACCTTTTAAAATTTCAGTGGTAACGGGTAATCGACCCGTGTGATATTACACACATAGTACTTATGAGTGTACGTATCACCGTGCGTTAGTTTCCATTACAATTCTACGAACAGGCGATACGTCGCACGTGCCACCACTAATGGAATCCTAATTGCAAAATCTATATTAAACGATCGCGAGACAGGCAGGCAGTCTTCGGTGCCGAACTGCTTTATGGAGTTCTCATCGGGTGGGTATACATCTTCTATGTGTATCACGGCAGATTTGCCACGAATAGACATTCATTGACAGCGAGCGTACTGCCGATAGAACAACTTGATTGACGCTAATAATTTTTAATTATAATTATTTTCATTTCCCAAGTACATTATATCGACTTATTTCAAACTTGAAAACCTTCCAGGCGTTTTCATTTACAGTTAAATATTTGTTGTACGATCACTGTATCACTTTCTTCTCGTTTTTATATGTTTTCCACGTGCTATTTATTTCCCGAGGAGTTCGCAGAAATACGTATTTTTTATCGATGACGTGCAAAAAGAAAAAGTCCGATACGTAGAAAAGAGAGTATCTCACCATTACCTGTTTCTTCGCGCGCGTGTTGCACAGTATGCACCAGCGGTTTTCAATGCGACGGTACCAGATGCATTCCGGTCGACTGGCGATGCGACGGTCATTTGGACTGTGCCGATCACAGTGACGAGATTGGGTGCGGCGAATGCAGTTCCTCTTCCTCGCCCACCGCTTCCGTCTTCAACACGAAGATCGTGAAGAAGCCAATTCTAGCGAAGAACACCATCTCGAAATCGCCGTTGCACTGCGGCGAAAGGAGATGCATGTCCGCAAGCCACATCTGCGACGGTGTCATGGACTGTCCTTGGGGCCAGGACGAACGTTACTGCTGTAAGCAGAATATTAATGTGGAAACGTTGTTTGTCCTTAAAAGGTTTGATCTTACTCGAACGTTGAAATCAGATTATATTCTTCTCTGTTTTTTTTTTTGTTGTTGTTGCTGTTGTATCCTTAGCCTCCGTTCGTTTCCTCATTATTTCCGAATTATCGTTGCAGTGAAGCTGAGTCAAAGGAACGGGGACGTGGGCGAGGGAAGATTGGAAGTTTATCACGCGGAAATGGGCAAGTTCATGCCTGCTTGCATCTCGCATTGGGAACCGAACTCCGCTAAAACGATTTGCTCCATGCTTGGATACACGTAAGAGTATTTATTTACGATTGTCGTTTGGTCGCTTTGTTGGTATATCTTCCCCTTTAACCCTCCACATCGTACAAACAAAGCCTTTTCTCATCGAGACTCCTTAACAAAGTATTCGAGATTGAGCTTTCGAGAGCAGATACTTAATGTTGAAGCGCGTTGACCTTAGATCTTGTAACGGTTTTAGGGTGGCACTTTCGCCCAGGTTAATGGCGCACGACGTCAACATCACCCGAAAGAATCTCAGAAGTTCGAAAACAAACCTTCTGAAAGAATTCCAAGAATGCATAACGGATCAGGAGATTTATCCAAAAGTTGAGCTCACGTGTTCGGAATATGGTAACTCGTTTATAACGATATCATGTACTATCGATACGGAATGTTAGTTTCTCGTTGGTCAGTTGTAACATTAATTGTGCAGCTTGTGGACGAAGGAAGACACTGTATGGGAATTCGAAGGTGAAGACTAGAATTGTGGGTGGTGTTGAATCGGCACCCGGTGATTGGCCATTTTTGGCAGCTCTTCTTGGCGGACCCGAACAGATTTTCTATTGCGCCGGAGTCCTAATTGCCGATCAGTGGGTACTGACAGCGTCTCATTGCGTAGGAAAGTGAGTCGCTGTTTTGTGTGTTTCTATGGTTTTCCACGCGTTTCGTAAATATTTCCTCGTAAATTCCAGCCACACCGACGTATCTGGCTGGACGATACAGTTAGGAATTACCAGAAGACACTCTCACACCTATCTCGGGCAGAAACTGAAGGTAAAAAAAGTGATACCCCATCCGAGTTACAATTTGGATGTCGTTCACGACAATGACGTGGCCCTGTTCCAGGTAGACAGTGATTAATTTCCTAGTTGCAACGTTGCTTTCGATCGTGATTTTAAGTTTTATTTCCATCCTTAGTTGGAAAAGCGAGTCCAGTTTCACGAACACCTGAGACCAGTCTGTTTGCCAACGGTTAACATGCATCTGATACCCGGGACACTGTGCACCGTCATCGGTTGGGGGAAGAAAAACGACACCGATTGTACGTATTCAGTGACGTATTCGATGCAAATCGTATAGGTATAACGAGCTCGTATAAAACGTATACAGTTCGTGTGAACTATATACGCTAGAATATTGAATGTCTTTGATCTAAAAGGATCGTGTCGACACAATCGATTCTTGTAGCATCCGAATATGAACCGGCCGTGAACGAGGTACAAGTTCCAGTCTTGAACAGAGAGATTTGCAACTTGTGGTTTGCGCACAAAGAAATGAACGTCACCGATGGAATGATCTGTGCTGGTTACCCAGATGGAGGAAAGGACGCGTGTCAGGTAAATTTGTAAATTTGCAAATATTTCCAGAGCAACTTCTCGACCTCCGACTTTGAGCAGTTCGACGTTTTTATACATGATACGATCAACAGGGCGACTCCGGAGGTCCTTTGCTTTGTCAGGACGAGAACGACAAGGAAAGATGGTTCGTTGGTGGTATCGTTAGTTGGGGGATAAAGTGTGCTCACCCGAAATTACCTGGTGTTTACGCCTACGTGCCAAAATACATACCGTGGATCCGTAGCGAGATGGCCAAGTACTCGAAAAAGAAAATCACGATCCGGTGAATCTTCCGGGCAGTAACTGGTAAGACGTATCTAAATATTACCTTAAGACAATAATTTTAACGACAATAATGCGCGTGCACTGTTTATTCGAGACACTAAAATTCCTTGTTAAAAGTTATTGTCGTACAAACAGTACGTTCGTTGCAGTTCTGAGGGAATTAATGTCTATATATGTAGGTAGATAGAACGATTATATTTCTTTTTGTGGGTTTTCTTAAATTACTATACTCTCGTGAAACAGAGGGAATCTATTTTTAAGACAGATTGTGAGAGACCATTCTTACAACATACGTTTTGAGCTCAATTTGACTTACTTTTTACTTTTGCTTAATTTAGGTAGTTAAGGAACTTACATTTGTAACAGGGAATCGAATTCCTGATGCAGGTTCTTTTTTTACTCATTTTAATGTAAATTCCTATCTTTTTCCCGCAACGACAATAAGCGCGATGATATCCAGAATAGTCTAGTTTAATCGCTGCTAAACATGTGATTACTTTATAATTTATTATTTAATTTACATATCACTTAGAATACTCAAACTAACAAAAACGTAACAGTCGATCGAGGTAAAAAATTATCAGCTCGTAGCAATTGTGATCTCGTTAGTTGACTTTCGTAAGTTTCCCTCTCGTGTGTTAATGATAAGAAATTTAGCTAAGGGCATATAAAACAAAGATGAAATAAGAGGAAACATATTGAGAAACTGGTGCACGAACGGCGGGGCTGTAAGTTGGACAGAATGCTTCGAACAACGAGCCCTTGTCGCCATTTTTTAGAAAGTCAACTTTTACGATCGCGTCAAAAGATATAATTACAAAAAAATAAACCAGCTGATTGCTCTACTTTTGGTATCGAGAATTAAAAGTGAATAAAAACAACTAAAAAAGGTTTTGCGAGTAAAACGAAAATTTCGCATGAGATGCGACAAAAAAACATTTTGTATTGCTGTCGGTTTTCGGGAGGGTCGCGTACGCGCCACCAAGTGGTTGAAAATCACTATTCTAAAAGGGTGTGCGTTTATTATTCGTCGATGTTTCGAAACAATAATCATAATTCTTTATTTCTAATAAATTTTCATCTCAATGGGTGATTACGGTTGAAATTAATAAATCTACTTTCTGACGAATGAGAATCGGTTTTTATACACCAGGATAGTAAACGTAGATATTGAAGAACGGGGTGTTTTACCGCAGACAACAAAAGATAGTTTGGCACGAAATTCAGAAACGCACACCCGATGTAAATAAAATGTCGCATACTGCATGAGATGCATATGTGTATCGATGATACAAATTTCATCCAACTATAAATATAAAAGTCTACAGTGTACGTATAATTGAAATACACGTTTGTTAATGTAAGTATAAACCTTAATATATGTTTAACGTAGCGTGTATTATTAGTATACTAATATAAAGCACATGTTTATGCATAAGCAAGGAAACATATATACGTATACATATACATACATATATATAAATACGTATATGAAAATAGTTATACGTGCATGTTAATGACGGAGCTGAGCTAACGTGATTACCACTTTCTTTTCTGTTTAGAGCATATTAAATAGAAAGATTGCCATAAGCAGACTTTGATATCAAATTTGCATTTAGAGGTACGTTGTTACTACATTTTCTATAATGTTTCAGCATCAAGCTTTTAATACACCTCCCGATTCTTTTCTTACGTAATTGTAATGCGAAGAATTCGGAGGAAAAATGAAAGTTTTACAAATATACTTGAATTATCGAGAATGCATACACGTACGTTTATTTACAATTTACAACGTTGCTCAGCCTCGTATCTATAGCTTGAATATATACGTATTCATATTTTGATGGCGCGTTCGTGCTTCGAATACGCTCACTTATGATCGGGATATTCGAAACACGAACAACATTAACTTTTTAAGCGAGCATTCGGAGCGATACGATGCTGCTTATAGTTTTTCTATAGCGCACTATAAACTTAGCTTAGGATTAGAGAACATGTTGACTGAATTCTAGGGACAATACTCTGCACCAGCACTTTTTTGATCCGCACTCAAATGGAAATAGTTTTTAAATGAGTCTACTTTATACGATGTATATTATTTATGGAAACTAGGAGCCTTACTAATTGACTTAGATTTTTTCTAAACGGTAAGAATAGCGGTATTGTTGGTCAGGACAATAATCTATATCTTTTTTAAGAAAACTTTCTATTCGGGTTTTCTCGCCTTCGTCAAGGATGCGATCAAATTTTACAGTGGAATTTTCTTACATGGTTTTAGTTAGTCGGGAAATTTATCACTAATAGGGTTAATATACCGAAGCATTTTTCTTTGGCGTTTCTGGAACTCCCACAATTTTTCATTCGCCCCAAATGATTCTGTTTCTTTTTCTATATTCCGTTGATCGATACCATTGATTTCTTCTTTGACTAAAACTACTAGACGACAAATGTCTTCCTTAGTATCCAGACAACAGATAGTAATCGAGAAGTAATGTAATTAATAATAACCGACAATACTGTGTGAACAGACAATAAATAATTTTAGGAAACGTTCCAAGATGAACAGTAAACTAGCACGTAAGACTAGGGTAAAAGGATTAGGCGTAAGGACACATGCATGTGGTTGTTACATGCTTTTCGTTATCGTGTTTTGATGCAATCTTTGATTGCTGTAGTTGTTGAGTAGGATCGTCATTTACCGACTAGCGAATTTGAATTTGATTAGGTATATCTTTAGGTCCTACGGACCATCAGGAATTTTGTTTCGCGCGAACACTTTAAAGATAGAAGTTTCGTCGTTCGAGAGTCCTCAAAATATTGTTTCCGTTGAAAATAATAATTTTTAACGCGACGAAGCATCGAAAATTTTCATTTTTTTCTCTGGAAAACGTTTAATGAAAATATTTACTTAAATGCATTTACACGTGACGTTATATTTCCGAGTATATAAAATACATATAATATAATCGCGTAATGTGATATAAGCAGTTGTTATTAAAATATATAAAGGATTATATGTATTTTACAGAAAAGACGAGGATGTTATAGTACATACTTGGTTTCTCTGATCCTTCAGTGCCAAAGATCGCGTATTTTCTTTATAAATATCTTGTACAATGGATTTTTATATATTTCTTTATGGAAGAAGTCAATTTAGGAGTAGGAGAATTCGTGTTTTCACGCCTAGCTTCGAAAAGGGTTTAATTACTTTCCACACTTGTGGTTATCTATTTACGGATAGAATAGATGTTCTCATGATTAATTTAATTCGAGGGTAATATATAATACTGCGCACAAGATAATGGTGTCACTAAGAATGGTATTCTTCTCGAAAGATACTATGAAACTGCATAACTACTCCTGTGAAGTCAATGTCGATTAGCGAGTTTTCGTAATAAGCTCCGCGTATCCATTAAAATTGCCGATAAGAAGTTTATTCTAAATTGTCTAAGCGCGTAGTATACCTATATACATGCATTATGCATACGCACTTGTATTCCGATTTCGAACGACGTGTCATTAGTCGTTCGACGGAATACAAATGCAAAAATTGATAAGGAACCTTCGTTGGAGGAGAAATAGAATTATCGAACAATTATTGTGAAAAGTGCAAAAATAGAAAAAAATGCTGGAACGCGAAAGGTTGTTAATTATAATGAAAATGTAAGAAACGTAGAACGTACATCTATACAATCGTCATTGAGCTTGAATGACAATATACGTCATTGTATTAAATATTCGAGGAAACAGTGCTTACATTTTTGCGAGTCAATACAGAGTTTAAATTAGAGAATCGTTTCTCTTCGCGCTAAGTGAAATAAAAAAAGTATTTTATCGAGAAAAAAGATAGGAGAATTAAAATTATATTGATTGTCTGGCTGGTTTAAAGGGCTAGCGCCGTTTATATATATTTACTCGATATTTCTTTCCAACACGGAGATAGTAAAAAATCTATCCAAATTTAAATTATTTTCATCGAGAGACTATCGATTTTTTATTCCTGTATTAATCTTCGATGTCTATATTATACGATAGAGTTTCGAGCTAAGTTTCTGAAATGATTGTCACCTTTTCTGTGCGAAATCGTACGAGCACACTGTCGACAGAAACGTACAGCTACGAAATTATCGAAGATGTGTACATGTGTTATAATTTTTGACGTGCTGATAATGCGTTTATATGCTACGTATTTCGCTCCGCGTTCTATTCGACCAGAATTTTCCAACATCACACTCCCTAAGAAACAGCAACAACGACATGAAGAAACAATCAAGTTTGAGAAAATTAAGAAATAATTTTTGTAAGAAGCATTTTGCATACTGTAGCGGACAAAGAAAAATCTAAACTGGCGAATACAACGCGGGGATCCTAAATGTGATTGCTTGTTGTGCCCGGCACAAATCCTAATCGTACAATCAGTAGTCGATATACTATACCGTGTGTGTATATATATATATATATTTAAAAGAAATTGCTAATATTTGCAAGACGATTGAATTATTACAAAGTAATCAACCGAAATATCTTTTTGACTGAAGATACTCTCGGCGCATAGCGTGTATTGAGTAATTCTAACCTGATGTTTGTATGTTATGTACATGTACACACATATATATATATATATATATATTTATAATATGCAAACAGTGCATATCTATACAGATTAATGTTGGCTATATATGTAGGTACGTTCCACATGTTCTGTGTCGCTGTGATTGGTACATAGACTTAGATAGTATTGTACCCTTAGATTTGTAATTAATGTTAAAGAGAGACGAGGACAGTTGTGTCGATAGCCTGAACGCGTTCGTCTTTTTCAAATGCTTTGTTAAGTCTAAAAGTTAATCAGACATTTGTTTTCGAAAATTCCAAAGATTAGAGTCGACTGCATTTTTAATCATTTAAATTGTGTTTAAGTTTTAATGATGTGGTTAAATTTCTGGTCTCGACGAGATAATATTAGAGGAGGGATAAATCTAATTCGAGTCTTGGAATACTGGTGTAT